ACAACGTGGATGGACTCGAGGGTATTATGTTAAGCGAAATAAGCCAGTCAGACAAAGACGAACTCTATATGACTCCACTCATAGGTGGAATTTAGTATATTGATATGGAGATCTGATCGGTGGTTACCAGGGAAAAGGGGGGGTGGGGGGAGGGCACAGAGGGGGAAGTGGTGTACCCACAACATGACTAACAAAAATGTACAACTGAAATCTCACAAGGTTGTAATCTATCATAACATTAATTAAAAAAATATATATATATTGTCCGTTATTTTTTCTGGTTATCAGACTGGGGCATTGAGTGGGGTCTCTTCCTTAGGAGCCTCAGTCCCCCCTCCCAGCAATGCTCTTCTCAGAAGCCCAGGCCCTAGCGTTCTTCTGGAAGGAACATGGGACAGGGAGGCACCTTTGAAGGATATGCTAGTTCCCTGGGTAGGGATTCATTCTGGGAAGGAAGCAAAAGTAAGCAGAAGCATTTCCTTTGGTGAGGGTGGGGATTTTGCTGAGGAGGACTGTATGTGCTAAAAATCAAAGGGGAGATTCCACAGTAGCAAAACCAGTTTCGCTGTTAGACACGTGTAAACTGCAGCTGCTCAGGATGAGTGCCAGCCCCAGGCTGGGGTTCGTGTCGATGGACCCACATGCACATGCAGCTGGGGAGGCTCCGGGAAGGCAGCAGGGGTTTCCAGGGCCACAGGCTCCTGGGGGAACTGGAAGCGATGACCTGGGTTATCAGTGAACCCAGGAGATAAGGTTCAGGAGAAAAAGCGGGACAAAGGCCAGAGGTAGGAGAGAGCCAGCCCAGGGGAGGAGCGTTTCTGAGCACAGCCAGGGAAGGTTGGTTACCTGATGGCTTCCTGCTGGGCTGGGAGCTTTCCTCAGTCCCCATGGGAGGGAGAGAGGAGATGAAAGGGCTGTTGTCATGGCAATAGGAAATCCTCTTCTGTGCCACTAGGGCTGGGTTCAGGCCAGGTACAGGTGGTCAGGTGGGACAAACACTGGGGGAAAGCAGTTTGGGGTCTTATGCCAAATACTTTGGCACCCATGTGCCTTCCTCACCCCTGCCTGCACCGGGGCAGGGCATCCCAGTGATGAGGAGCCTCACTGGAGCCCCCAGTCTTCTCCTTGGGGAAATGCACAGGATTTGGCTCCTTGGGGCATGAGAGGCTGGAGTCTCCACCCTGCAATGATTTTTGTTAGTCTGCAATGACACTCTGACTATATCCTCTCTCTGAATGGACCTCTACTCTAGGCCTGTGTCCTGCCCTGGTCCAGCCTGGTCCTCCCTCTGCCCAGCTGGGAGCCGTGGCCTCAATGGCTGCTCTCACTGGACTTGGGAAGCCATTTAGGGCACTGAGTGGTTGGCAGGTCTGGGGACATGACACCACGTGCTGTAGAACGACCCTCCTTTGCAGCTTCTGGCAGCCCATCTCTGAGTACAAGGCTGCTTGTCATCTCTTGGCCTCCATATGGTGGAGGCCCCAGGGCTCAGCTCTTGGTTCGTATCTCGTTCCTGCCTAAACTCACTCCCCTGGTGATCTCACCAGGCTTGTGACTTTAAATACCATCTCCCAGCTGATGACTTGAATGTCTGGCTCCCTTAAACTCCAGACTCAAACACCCTACTCCCTACTTGTCATCTCCACCACTGTTGTCCATCTCAGGTTCCACATCCCCCAGTAAAGCTCCAATGCAGCAAGAAAGACTTCTGCCCCTCCTGCAGGTTTCTCCATCTCGGTTAGCAGCAACTCCAACCTTCTGGTTGCTCAGCCAAAAGCTCTGGAATCACCCTTGACTCCAATCTTCTCCCTCCCCACATCTAATGCATCAGAAACTCCTGTCGGTTCCATCTGCAAAACACATCCAGAATCTGACCCTCCTCCTCGCCTCCACTGCCACCACCTGGTGCAGGCCACTGTCAGCTGCTGCCTGAACTGTTGTCGGCGCCTCCTCCCTGGTCCCTCTGCTTCTGCCCAGCACAGGAAGGTCCCCCTAGGCTTCAGGGACTGAAAAAGGGGCAGCTGAGGGGCCTCAACTAGAGGTCTGGGGCCTCCGACACTGGACAAGCCACAGGCTTGTCCACCCATGACACTGCCTGCTGTTGACTGGAGCCTTGGGCACATGAAGGCCCGTCACCCAGGACCCCCTGTGGGGCTCCTATACCACAGGTTTTGACACCTTGACACTGGAGAACAAAGGATTTGGCAGAGAGTATCTGTGAGTCCTGGGGCAGATCCCTGTCCTGGCAGATGGGCCCACGTGAGTGCCCAGGGTCCTTCCTTGAACCCCCTCTGTGCCAGGGACAGCACACCACCCACCACACCCCACCAGGTGCCCACTTGGGCTTGAGCTGTAAACTCCTCAGACTGCTCCAGGTGGGGTAGGCTGGGGGTCCCCCAACCCTCACCCCTTAGAATCCTAGCCTGAACAGGAGCTTTTACCATCTGGGGCTCAGCAAACTCCCACTGAGGAGCATCCTAAGCCCTGGCCTGTGCACTGGTGGGGGCGCAGGGCCGGGCTCACCCGCGCAGCTCCTACAGCTTAGCCTCGGCATCATTCAGGCTGTCGGCTCAATGTGCTCATGAAAAGTGGGCCAGGAGCTCATGCAGTGTCAGGATGTGCCTGGGATCTGCGGCAGGGAAAGGTAGGGGGACAGAGGCAAGAATGGGGAAGGATAGAGGGACAGGGAGACAGAGGCAAGGAGAGACAGTGATGATACAAGAAAGAGACAGAGCAGCGATGTAGAGGCATAGAGAGAGAGAAAAAGGGGGAAGAGACTGGTTCTCTCAGCTCCCAGCACTCCTAGAGCAGGGCTGAGGACGGATACCCACAGCACTTCTGATCCCAGACTCTAACTTGGAGGATCCTCAGGGTCTTGTCTGGGACAGGAGCCCAGAGCTTGAGGCTCTACCCCGGCAGGAGACAGGGCCTGGAGGTGAGCTCAGGACCAGGAGCTCCCCTCATCTTCCCACACTGCCTGCTCTGTGGAGCTGGACAGCCCTGCGGTCAGCCGGGTCAGGGGCTGGCTCCAACCACATTCTCCAGGCAGCCCAGGGCTGGGGGCTGTTAGGGCTGTGGCTTCCTCCCAGTTGCGGCCTTCATTGCCATGGGCCCCCAGCAGGCTCCCCAGGCATGCACCCTCAAGAACAGCGCTGGGCACCACCTGGAACATGGGGTCAGTGAGGAAGGTCTCCAGCATCCTCTCCTCACAGTTGGTTTGGCCTCCTGGTGCTTCAGCAGATTGTCACAGTCGCTGTTCACTTGTAGTGGGCCAGGATCTTCAGGCTGTACTGGTGGCTGGGGAGCAACTCCTGATAGATGTTGAGCATGGGCAGCAGGATATGGAACAAGTCTGCTGGAAGAAGGGGAGGTGAGAGGGCAGCCAGGGGCACCCTCGGGGAGACAGAAGCCCCACAGGCCCTTGGCTCACCCAGCCCCACCCAGGGAGGTCAGGCCCAGGTTCAGACCTCCCGCCCCAGAGACACCCAGGCCTTTGGGGACAACTCTGGCACCACTGCCCTCTCCAGGGTCAGCTAGGTGGCCCCAGGCATTGGGACCACATCAGAATCATAGACTTTTAGAGATGAGGCCCTCTCTAGTATGACACCTGTGTATTGGAGGGTCAGAGAGAGCTGTCATGGGCGCTGCGGTGTGCCCCACCACCTGAAGGGTCTGAAGGGCCACCCCAGCTCCAGAGCTTTGGTGGGGTCGGCTGAGGTCCCTGTGGTAACTGCATGGCAGCTCCACATTCCCTTTGGCCCTGGCTTCCCCAAGAGGCCTCCCACCCAGAGTGTCCTGCCTGTGACAGAAGTGACCCATCCAAGGTCATGAGGTGAGTCATTAGCTGGCCTAAGTCCCCCATTCCAGGGCTTCCCCCCAACATGACATGTCTTCCTGAGTCACTGTCCCTTCATCTGTATGTCCCTTTGTCCACACATCCCTATCCTTCCAGCCTCCCCAGGTCCAGCAAGGTGGGTCTTCTGTTGGCCTGCTCTATCTCAACCTCCTGCCTTCCAGCCCCCAAAAGCCCAACCAATCTCCCCAAACCTACCCTGCGATACTTGATTGGCAGGGATGGACCCACTGAACCCTCTGCTTATAAACCCCATTAAAAAAGAAAACACTAAACTCTAAGTGGGAGCTCTTACACAGGGCATTCAACTAACCGATGGACAGCACCATCAACCATGCAACTACAGAGAGCGCAGACCTCGCCTCTCTAGGGCTGCTTCTTATTGTGACCTTGGAGAAAAGCAGGGCTCCTTGACTTCAAGAAAACAAAACAAGTGTCCAGCTCACCCTAGAAGCCTCCGTGGCTGGAGGGCAGGGGAGCTCTGGAGAGTCCGTGTCTGGCCTCAGTCGTCCCTTCACCTCCCTGAGCCTGTTGCCTCATCTCTATAGTGGAGGTGACACTAACATCCACCTTTACCTCCTGAATTAAGAAAGTGAAAAACAAAAAGGTAAACTCAGTGTGAGAGAGGTGTGATGCAGGAGGTCCTGCCATGCATCCCTGGGGCAGTCAGGGTGGTGCAGCCAGCTGAGAGCAATGACGCAAGGTGTACGGAGTGGGAGCCTTGACCGTGTTTATACCCTTTGTGTCAGTCATTTTGCTTTTGGAAACCTGTCCCAAGGAGACGCACTCTCATATGGAGAACACTTCACATGCAGAGATGAGTGTTTCTAGTAACAAAAAGCTGGAACAAACAGCTTTAAGAGCCAATGATGGGAGATGGCTGTGTGGATGATGGCATGTTCACAGGTACTGGAGCATTATACAGCCATCAAAAAGCACAATTTCAGCATAAGAAAACACTTGTGCTATAATGTTAAGTTAAAAAAAAAACCCACAGCAAGATTCAAATTCTATAAGCAGTATGTTTGCCATTATGTAAATAAAATGGTAAGGAAAAACCCAAGATCTATGCATAGAAAAAAATTGGAATAAAACACACCAAAGTGTTTACAGTGGTTATCTTTGGGAAGCAGAACTATGGTTGATATAGTTTTTAGCATTTTGTACATTTCTGGATTGTCAAATTTTCTCAAATTGGTACATATATATGATTTTTAAAAGGGAAAAGTAGGAGCTGACCCAGTGGCATAGCAGTTAAGTTTCCGTGCTCAGCTTTGGCAGCCCAGGGTTCGCAGGTTCAGATCAAGGGCACGGACCTACACACTGCTCATCAAGCCATGTGGTGGCAGTGTCCCACATACAAAATAGAGGAAGAGTGGCACAGACATTAGCTCAGGGGCCAATCTTCCTTCCCAACAAAAAAGGGAGGGGAGTAGATAAGAAACTAAAAATATATTGCTTCCTCCTAGAAATACAACTTTTGCCAACTTGTCTTTCCTCTTCTTCTCCCTCTAAGGGATTCTGTGGGTTTGTACGGAGCCACTCTATTATACTCTGGGAGCATGAAAGCGCTGCCCGCCTGGAGGAGGGACTTCTCAGGTTGCAGGGCAGGGACAGTGGGCAGGAGGGGCTGGCTGCTCACCCAGGCCCAGCATGGGCCAGCAGGAGACAGGGCCTTCGGTCCTTGGTACAGATCTGGTGCAAATGCATGATGGGCTCACCGACAGGGAAGGCACAGGGCAGGCTCCAGCCATGGAGTTCCTGCCCCTCCAAGGGGCCCTCACCTCCAAGTCCAGCAGAGCTGAGGGGCCCAGGGAGAGGGCAGGGGCTGCCACTGCCTGTGGGACTCTAGCAGGAAACCCCTTTCTCAAGTGAGACCTTATGTGAAAACCCCATCAGCAGGATGGACTATGTAATCTGTGGGGCCCAGTGCAGAACAAATATGCAAGACCCCTTGTTAAAAAATGACAAAATTTCAAGATGGTGATGGCAGAGCATTAAACCAAACACAGGCTTTTCTAAACACGGGAGTCGCACGCCCAGGAAGCTAGCAGAGGATAGGAACTGCTCTGGCTGCCAGCCTTCCTTGCACCCCCAGTTCCCACCTGCTGGGAGTGCCCCAGGGCTGGCCTTGAACCACATAGAGGAAGCTAGAAGGACTCTGGGGGTCACCCATTTATGGACAGGAAAACTGAGGCCCAGAGAGGAAGGGTGAGTCCTCCCAGGAGTCAGGGGCAGCCCCAGCCTGGCAGCCTGTCTCCCCTCTCCCTGGATGGTCTGTCTCTCAGCCACACCAGAGGCCCCTCTCTGGTTACATTCTCCAGGGGTGCTCTCTGCTCCCTCCCTCTGTGATGACCCAGCACTTTGTCTGTTGGAGGCCCCCCGACCCCCCGGTGTTTTCCACCTAGGGGGGCTGTCATGGGGCCCTCCCCTCTCCCAGCAGTTTGTGCCCTGAAAGCAAACCCCTACCCTGGGGGCTCAGTCTCTCAGTACAACGAGAGCAGGGAGTGGAAGGTGCTGAGTGGGCACAGAGACACCCCTGAGCTGTTTGGACACACGTCTAAAGAGAGCAGCTCAGGAAATCACAAGCATGCCACAGAGCCAACTCCGCTCCCTGCTCCCTTTTCAGAGCAAGTGGATTTGTCCCCTCAAGGCCACTTGCTGAACCACAGAATGAACAGCTCTGACAATGGAGCGAATGGAGCACTTTGAAAGCAAAATGGGACCATTACCCACTCTCCACTTCCAGTTTGCTAAAATTACCCCGGGCTTGTGCTTGAAGAGCGGCTGGAAATATCTAACGAACAAATATTCAGTGTTAATACAGGCTTTTTTTTTTTTATTCTGAGAACCTTTGCACACTGAAATAAAAGCTGATTCTTTGATCTGAACTCCAAAGGGCAAAGGGAAAAATAAACACACGCACACACACACACACACGCAGGCTTGCAGGCTCCGGGAGAGCTCAGAGACACAAGGATGCCAGGTCAGCATCCTCACTGCCCTGATGTTACCACCTCCATGCCAGTCTGCTTCCTCTGCCAGTTCTGGGATTTGCGTGTGGTATCCTTTTCTCTTTAGGATGGCGATGTGTGTGTGTATAAGTAGTCTGTATGTAAAACCGGTGGCACTCTTCTCAGAGAGAGGCATTCCGGGACATCTACTGACAAGGGACCAGGCAAAAAACAGGTACAGTCAAGTCAGGTGCTCTGCTCCGTGCACAAGCAACACCGCCAGTCCTGGAGTCTTTATTTAAGGATTAGGCCGGGTGGACAAAGCTCTGGAGAGCTGTGAGCCTGGGGACCCCACAGAAGTTGGGCCATGGTCCATCCCTACTACAAGCCAGCATCAGGACGGCGGCAGGAGCCCCAGCCCCCGTGAGCTTGCAGAGGCAGCCTTTCTCCAATGCTGCAGGTCCCTTCTGGGGATGCACTTGCTTTGGATCCTGGCTGGCTTAGCTGATGCCCAGGGCCTGCTCAGTTGATCCTTGTCAGTGATGGACATCGAAAGTTGGCACTTTGGCTCACACCCCCACTTGCCAGCTAAAGTCTGGATCTGGCTGCCCACCCAGCTCAATGCCTGGCATCTCAGCTGGGCCCTGCCCACTCGCCACCCCAGTCACTTTCTTGGCCCATCAGAGGCAAACCCTTGTTTGCCACACCCCTTAGGGGCACCACTCATTGGCTTCTGCCCAACCCCACTCCCCTCTCTGGAGATAGTGTCTTTAATCCAGAATGTGTTTAGTCAGTGCAGTAATTGATGGAGGAATTAATCCAGGTTTTGTTCTTTTTTGTCAGCAGCCAGATTTTGTTAAAGATCTCTGTATTTCTTACTTTTCAAACAGCTGCCACATAGCTCAGTTCTCTCCCCTTCCTTCTTGATTTCCTCTGACCTCTTCCAAGCCCGACAGGTGCCCATCTCTATCTTCCCTTGCACCAACCCTGATGACGTCCTGATGGGGCCTCTGTGGTGGGCACCCCGCTGGGCACAGGTGAGACACAGCTGGAGGTGGGTAAGTCAGCACCTTTCCCTGGAGGAGCTTCCAGCCTCTGAAGGGGTCAGATACCCCACAGGTAACTTACACTCCAACGAGGCAAGGCCAGAACAGAGGTGTGCACCTACTGCAGTGGGAGGGTCTCACCATGGAAGCAACAAGGGCTACCCAGAAGTAGTTTCAAAGGATAGGAGTCCAACGGGTGGGCTACGGGATGGAGGGAATTGGCGCAGAGGGGATGGTGTGAACAAAGGCACAGGGTAGGACAGGGTGTTGAGTGCAGGGCAGCAGGGGTGGGTGTGGCAGGAGGAGACATGGGAAGCAGGACTCAAGGCGTCGAGGCTGGGCCATGAGGAGGCGCTGCATGGGGAGGGGTCAAGGCTGCCCTCTCCTACTTCCCCCAGAGCAGTCTCCTCGCTGACCTATTCTATAGAGTGGGGTTCCATGTCAAAGCTGGTTTGCAAAGCTGATTCCATGGCTAGTTTTACTTTACACCCTGAACTAAAGATCTCTGCAGGTTCTTGCAGTCAGCCTTCCAGGGTTCTGAGTGCTCCCAGCCAGTGAAACCTCTCGACCACTTCTAAACTCCTACCCCGCCCTTTAGGGCTGCCTGAGCTCTCCCAACTCACTTCCAGTCATAAATGGGAGAAAAATGGCTACTGAAACATTCAAATGGTGCCAAACTGATCATTCTACAAGAGGCGAGGCGTATTCTCAGAGGTAGATGCTCCCTTTAGATGGTCCTTGGAGCTTTTTGGTTATGAAAGATGAGGTCAGATAGGGTTGTTAAGATGGGAAAGAAGAGACTAAGGCAGAGCTGGATAGTATTGCTTAATAAATTCTGTGCAGACTTTTGTTTGGGTGTGACCTCCCATTATTTCTAGGGAGAGATGGCTGGAGATGAGGGCTCCAGGGGTAGAGTACAGAGGGAGTAGAGACAGGGCTGGCGTCCTGGATATGCGACATGTGCACAGCCCCACGCTTAGCAGGGCCTAATGCTTGGTTTAAAGCTCTGCTGTTGCTGCCTTGAAATTCTTAAGGGCCCTGCCTTTTCATTTTTCACGGGGCCCAGCAAAGTATGTTGCTGGTCCTAAAAAAAAGGTGTAGACAACAGTATATTGGTAAAGGATAAACGACCAGCTCTCTCAAAGAAAAACTCTGACTGGTAGCACTGGCCCATTTCCATAGTGTAAACTTTCCTACCATAGCCCATTTTAAGCTGCCAAACGGTGAATAACGAGCTTGCAAAATTCTTGAAAATTTAACTGGCTCTTGCAATCTGGTATGAGCTGGCCCCACCACATCACTGGGTGCAGGGCAAGGGTCTTGGTAGACAGAGATTATGAATGACACTACCACCACCAAGATGGCACTAGGGAGTGTGCAGAGAGACGTCAGTGTGAGGAGAGGAGGTCAGTGAGAAATCCTTGTGGCAGGAAAGGCTGAGCGACCTGAGAGCAGGGATGTCTTCTATTCATTGTTAAGCTGTTTTCTGTTTCAGTAGTGGAAACCTCCTCTATTATATCCAAACCTTTCGGAAAGCCTGGTCCATCCAACAGCCTATGTCGGGGGCTTGGGGACTGGAGGAGCCACAGCTGGGTGTCATTAGGGCTTTCTCAGATACTCTGGTTCTCCTCCTCCTGGGACATGGCAGGGCTGTACTTATCAGTCCCCTGAAGTCAGGTGTGGCCATGTGACTTGCTTTGTCCAAAGAAATGTGAGTAGAGGTGTCACACATCATTCGCCACATTCCCTCCCCTGCCATGGGACTGGAAAATTTCCTGATGGTGGGAGCCCTGTCAGCCTGTGCGTCCCTGACTCTGCATGAGAACGCTGTGGAGCAGAACCCAGAAGGGACACACCGTGTAAGTGAGAAAGCAATCTTTGTTGTTTTAAGTCACTAAGACTTGGGGGCTGTTTTTAACTGCAGCATAATCTAGCTCGTCCTGACAGATACATGCAGTGACCACCAGGGGGAAAAGTGCAGTAAAGACTGAGTAAAGGGGCCAGCCTGGTGGGGCAGCAGTTAAGTTTGCACTTTCACTTCTCGGTGGCCCAGGGTTCACTGGTTCGGATCCTGGCTGTGGACATGGCACCGCTTGGCAAAAGCCATGCTGTGGTAGGCGTCCCACATATAAAGTAGAGGAAGATGGGCATGGATGTTAGCTCAGGGCCAGTCTTCCTCAGCAAAAAGAGGAGGATTGGCAGTAGTTAGCTCAGGGCTAATCTTCCTCAAAAAAAAAAAAGACTGAGTAAAGACAGCTGCTGTGGGAAGCAATACAGGAAGTCAGGAGAGCAGAATTTGGAAGCCAGAGGTGGCCAGGAGAATGTAAGACCCTGGAAATCCTCAGGAATATGGGGGACGGGGCCTGAGGGCTATCGGAGGAAAGATGGACCATGAGAGCTTCAGGCCATCCAGGCAATGCAGTGGTTCCCTAACATGCCCCTTTTATCAGGCCCATCTCCTCGGCAGGAAGGAGTAAGTTGTAGGGCAGGCACAGGCCCAGGATCTGGAGCCAGGAGATCCCTGGTTAAGCCTGGACCCTAGTGCTGGAAGTAACCTTGGATCAGTCCCTTCCTCGTCTATGGACCTCAGTCTTCAGATCCCTCCCAGCTCTGATGATCTAAGACCCTCTGTCTTTGTCATGGGGGTCACTCATCACTTACTCCGCTCCTCAGTGCCTCCTGCCTACTGGATGACCTACTTTCTGGGAAACAGGCTCTGTTTCACCTTCCTGGAGCCCACCCAGAGCAAACAGGTGCCTTCTACCCTGCAGGATATGTAGGTGTGAGAGACAGAAAGGGACTGCAGCCAGAAAGCCTCACCAAGCTGATTTTCTTTCAAAGTCTTCTTTAAAGAAGTCTTTTTTTTTTTTTTTTTTGAGGAAGATTAGCCCTGAGCTAACATCCGCTGCCAATCCTCCTCTTTTCGCTGAGGAAGGCTGGCCCTGAGCTAACATCCGTGCCCATCTTCCTCTACTTTATATGTGGGATGCCTGCCACAGCATGGCTTGCCAAGTGGTGCCATGTCCGCACCTGGGATCCAAACCAGCAAACCCTGTGCTGCCAAAGTGGAACATGCACACTTAACCGCTGCACCACCAGGCTGGCCCCTCAAAGTCTTCTTTAAAAAAAAATTGTTTGCCCTGGAGAGTAATGCACTCAATTGGAACCACTGCTCCAAATTCCTACCAAACTGGCCTCTGCTGCCACTCTTTCTCTCTCTCTCACACACACACACTTTCACTCACAAGTGACCAGTTTTGTGCTCCCCAGCACTAACGGGGCTCTGCCCTTTGCACCCACCCCTTCTCTGGCCTACCAACCCCTGAAACCTTTTAAGGCCACATGCAACATGAACCCACACCTTCTCTGGCCGAAAATGACTCATTTTCTACCTGGGTTCACACCACAAGCTATTATAGCACCGATCAATCGCACTCTACCACAATCTGACCCTAAGGGTGGAAAGGTCCGTGACTTTACTGCCTACCAGAGCCTGATGTCCATTCATTCATGAAGCCCTACTGAGTACCCACCATGTGCAAGGCAGAAGGGACAGAGTGATAAAGGACAGTGCTGCCTTGAAGGAGTCCCCAACAGGCTTGGTGGGGCAACAGACACCCATGGAGCAGGCTCTGATGTGGCATGCCGAGGGTGGGAAAGCCGTGGGAGCAGGGGGCAGGGAGCACACTCTGGGCTGAGAGTCCCTGAGAGCAGGCATTTGCGCTCGGTAGGATTCCAGCAGGCAAAGAAGTGTAGGGGTGACAGGAGCATTCCAAACAGGAGCACCAGCATGTGCAAGGGCCAAGAAGTGCACAGTTCATGGCCATGGGGCACTGGCTGGAGTCCCAAGTGATGGGAGAAGAGGAGCCTGGAGGAGAGGATGAGGCAGTGGTCAGCTGATCTCACGCAGTGAGTGAACAAGTGAGTGAATGAATGAATGACACCTGGACACCCTTGATCATGAAGCCACTAACCTGGAACTGGGGCCAGGCCTCTTCCCTGGTCTCTAACAGGGGCTCAGCTTGGTTTCAGGGATGTGTGCAGGGCTAGGATAGATCCCAGAATGAACCAGATAGTTTAGACACTGGAAAAGCCCCCATCCCGGGAGCCACATGGGAAGAGGCTACAAGTAGAGTGGAAGGACTGGCAAGCAGACAAGCAGACCTGGGTTCCAGTCCTGGCTCTGTTGCCTCCCAGCTGGATGAGCAGGGGAGGTGACTTGAGCTCTCTGAGCCTGCTTTCTCATTCAATCCTATGAGGATGGTTATGAAGACTAAGGAATCAATCCTGAAGGCACCTGGTGAGGGGTTAGAGGAGGTGTGTGGAATCCGAAATTTTTTTGAACTTCAAGTTCCAAGTTGATGTGACTGTTACCTCAGAGCTTCAGCGGCATGACAAGGTAGAAGTGGCAACTTCAGATCTTTGAACATTCCAGGCAGAGCTGGCTTCATGGGCGTGCGATAGGGTCCTATGCTCAGAAAGCCCCGTGCTTGGGGCTTCAAGTTCTGCAGTTGCCATCTTGAAATTCTTCATCATTTTCTCTTTGAATTTGTGTTTCCTAAGTGATATCTGATAGGACAATGGAGTATACCCCAGGGGCTTGGAACCCCAGCTCATGCCTGTTCCTGCCTCCTACTGCCTCCCTGGATGGGTTCTCAGCTGCTCACTCCCCACACCCTGGGACCCTCGATCTTTGCTACCCTCTGTCTGAGCAGAAATTGAGTTGAGTCAGCCAGAAAGACTTTCATCCCACCATAACCCTCCACCCCCTGCAGGGTCCTTGGTGTAGGTGCAGAGAGGGTAGGTCCAGTGCGCACCCCATACTGTCTCAGGGCAGGGTGAGGAGGCAGTGCCTAAAAATTAGGTGGGTGACACAGCAGGGCCTTGTGCCCACCCCTAATCTAGGCACTGAGTGCATCATGGCACAGAGGTTAGGGGAGACTGGAGGTTGAAGTTGGGGGACTCCTGTCTGCCATAGGTTGGGGTCGTGGGCTGTGGAAAGGGGAGATTGACTTCCCCACTCCAGCCAGGGCCTTGCATTTTCCCCTTGCATCAGGCCCTACAAATTATGTAGCCAACCCTGACTGCAGGAATCTGTGTTCCCATTTTCTCCTCCTCAGATCAGAGTCCATGGTCCTTGTGTGATGTGGCTAGATGGTTCTAAGCACACTGGTGAGGTGAGGGGGTGAAAGGCAATCAGATCATTCGGTAGTGGGGTGGACAGCTGCTGAAGGGCATCTAAAGGACTGATAGCCAGTGCCTCCCAAGCTTTAACGTAAATGGAATCACCTGGGATATTGTGAAAATGCAGATTCTGATTCCGGAGGTCTGGGTGGGGCCTGAGATCCTGCATTTATAGTGAGCTGCTGCTTCATGGACCACACTTTGAGTACTGAAGTTCCAGAAGGCTCAACCTAGCAACAGCGTGGCCTCCAGATCACTGCCTGGTGAGCCTCTGTAGGAGCTCTTACGACAGGCAGGAGGAGGGGACTGCTTGGAGCTGAGCCAGAAGCCCACACTCTAATGACCTACCAGGGACCCTGTGTCCCCAGAGTCTTGGGCTGATACCGTGGGAAGGCTCAGTCAATGTTATCTTAAGCAGAGTAAATAGGTACTTGCCCATAAATAACCTGACTGAATCCTCACAATCTTGTCAGGCAAGTATAAAAAGGCTGTTTTATAGATGAAGGAATGGAGGCACAGAGAAGTTGGGGGGACTTGCTCCAGGTTGCAACTGTTAAGTTGCAGAGAAAGGATCTGAACCCATCTGACTCAGGACCTTCCCATTCTGCCAGCATCACTGAATTTAAGTTTGGAGGCTGGCACACCTGTGGCTGGGAGCTGGTCCTCCCTGCCCATCATGTGCCTCCCTGATCCCGCAGGAGCCCAGGGTGTGAGGTATTGATCCTGGGCCCAGGGTCCCCCGACCAACTTCCTCTGCACCCCTTGCCAGCAGTCACCTCTGCCTTCAGCCACTGGATATCGATCTCCCCATCCTTGACCTGCTGCCGTAGCTGCTTGGCCACTATCTTCTCCACCTCCACCATCTGTAGCAGGTGCAGGTACTTCTGCACCAGCCCTTCACGCTCCATGGCCAGGGTCTGGTAGCTGTGGATAGATGAACATGGTGGGTAAGACACTGCCTGCTTGCCCCCGAGAGATCCAACCAGAAGTGGGGTCCCCCACTGACTGCACTTAGGAGAAGGTCCTGACTCCCAGACACAGTGCATGGAGCCTTGACTTGGCTGCTGTACTGATGCTGATTGCTCTGGCCCCTGGAACCAACTCCTGTCTCACACTCCAACCTCTGCTTCCTCTAACTGGTCATGTTCTCCAACGCGCGCCTCCCTCCTCCCCCGGCCAACTGCAACAGGCTTTATACAGACTTACTCTCTTAATTATGGGGCTCATGCAGCTGACGACTTTAAATTAAGTCAATGCTCATTTACCATTCTGAAAATCCTAGGGCCCTTAAGAATTATGCTAAATCTACTCCACCTGTGCTCTATAAATGACAAAACAAAGCCTGGATGGCAGCACATCTGTTTCCAACATGGCTTACTGAGTATTTTAAGCCCACTGTTGAGACTTACTGCTCAGAAAGATTTCTTTCAAAATATTACTGCTCACTAATAAGTGGTGGGGTTCCCCTGTTGAGAATGATGCTGTTGTCCCCTCCCTGCCCCACCCCCCCACCACCACACACACACTCACACAGAATAGGAAAAGTCTTATGGCTCACAATGCCAGAGCAGGGAGCCTCAGGACTTTCTCCTCAGCGGGTACAGGTGTGGGCACGAGAGAACAAAGAGGAGGGAGGCGCAAGCTGTCAGCACACATCAAAAAGCGCGGAGTCTGCTCCTTACAAGGACAAACGGGGGTAAGAAAAACATGCATTCACAATGGCTTGCCTTTATATAAAAAAAAAACACCAACAGGAAGCTCAGGAATGATGAAAACTGTACTGGGGGTGGCTGGAGTAACGGCGCTGGAGGGGACCCAGAAATGTCCGCAGTGAGTCTTTTCCGACTTTTCTTACAGATTTAAGATAAACAGAGAAATTTATATACATCATATTTTACTATTTGATAGTCTTTAATTTTAACTTTTGTACACAGGAAAGCATTCTAAGATGTTAATTCCTTTAAACCACTAACAGTTACAGAAGAGTAAGCCGTACAAAATGAAAATTTCAAATCTCCTGCTAACTGAAAGGACAAGCAGCATCCTAGTTTTTCCTTCCACTCTCTCTCACACGGGGGTATTTTCAGGAATGAGGAGCAAATTATAATGCAATAGGGGTTTGGGCTCACCTCCTTAAGTGTAATAGGATTTTCAAAGATTTACATAAGCTTTGATTAGTCTTCCTCACATCAATTAAAACAGGAATTCTTTTGTTTATCCTTTAAATTTCAATGTTCTCTAGAGACACGCACATACACTGACGTAAAAATGAAAAATGTGCCTGAAGACTTAGTCATCTCACATCTTGAGATTCTCTTGCCCAAAAGGAACAAAAATTCCATTTAGATCCACAACTTTCTTGCCTTACTGACATTATCTCTTTCAATCAATTTACATTTTTAAGCCCCAGAAACTCAAAATGCTATTTCTCACACAGGGAATAAAATGACAAGTGCTAAGGGAAACCGGAGCCGCAGGGCTGCCCTGTTCAGTCGATACACGAATCCAACAGAAAGAAACACAAACACTGAGTCGGCAGACGCGCCGCCTGCCGCCCCCGGGACCTCAGGGCGGGCACACTCCGAGTCGGACACACCCCGGGCTCTCGCGGTGGGACGGAAGCCTGGAGCGACGCAGTCCCCGGCGCAGGAGGGCTGGGGGCAGCTGGCAGCCTCAGGAAGGAACTCGGGGCGCTCCCACCGCGTCCCCTGCCCGGGGAGGAAGAGCGGGGCTCCCCCTCACCAGTGAGGAAGCTCTCAGCAGGAGGCAGGTTAAGGCTGTGACCCAAATGAACCCCAAATGCATAAACCTTAACCCAGACCCAGAAGTGGCCTTCGCCGACCTCCTCACGGCGGACGAATTACGCTCCGAGGGCCCTGAGATGCGCCCGCCTGCAGAGGGCGCCCCGGAGGGCTTCCAGCGGAGGGCTTCCCGCGGAGGTTCCACACGGCGCACCGCGGCCGCGTCCTTGCGGGCCTCTCGCGGAAAACGGCCACAGACAAACGTAAACCTTTGAAAAAGCCGTCCCTGACTGCGGACAACGGCGAACCAGAGAAACGCGGGGCGTCCGCCGCCCGCAGGACGCACGGCTGATGGCGGCGGGGCCGTGGGTTTGAGACCCTGCTCCCGAAACCCCTGGACACTCAAGAGGGCCGGGCGCCCCAGCCAACGGCCCTGCCCGCACGCCCGCGGTCGCCGGCGAGAGGACGGGCCGCGCGGCCACAAACGGACGCCGTCCTCGGCCCCACCCCACGCTGCGGCCGACGACAGACGCGCACACTCCCGCCCCGCCGCCGGCGTCCGGCAGGCATGCTTGCCTGAGGCGCGCACGCCGGCTGCGGAGTGCCGCCCCGCCCACCTGCCCACGCTGCGGCCCTGATCTGACAGAGCGGTGCCCCGTTTCCTGAGCGACAGCGGGGCAGGTCACATGGCTGAGCAAAGCGAGCTTCCGCTGGGAGCGGGAACCTGTCCCCGTTGGGGACGTTTGCTTTTTATTTTTTCTTTCTACTTCTTCGTGTGTTTTTGGTGTGGAAGGCTGTCGCTGAGCTAACGTCCGTGCCCATCTTCCTCTGTTTTGTAGGTGGGTCTCCGCCACAGCGTGGCTCAGTGAGCGGCGCTAGCTCCGCTGACCGGAACCGCGAACCGGCCGAGGTAAAGTGCGCGGACTTCGCCACTCGGCCGCCGCCCGGAGGACCCTCCTTTTTATTTTTTAACTTTTTAAAAATGTATTTGTGCAGGAAGATCGCCCTGAGCTCAGAGCCGTGCGAGGGCCCCTCTGGGCCGGGGCCTCTGGGCCGGGGCCGCCGGGCGAGGCCGCTGCTCTCGCGAGGCTGGCTCGTGGCGGCGCCTAGAGCGGGAGCGCCGGGCCCGCGGGTCGCTTGCCGTCAGGTTGTGGAGGGCGGGGCGCCCGGATCAGGCCGGCCGCGGCGAGCGGGTCTGCGGCCTGCCCTGCGGGCTGGGCCGGCGCCCTTGTTTGCAGACGCGCGAGCGGCGACCTGGCCGCCGGCGACAGAGCCCAGCTCCGGTGTGATCCTGGGCGGCGGCGCGGAGGCTCCCGCCTCGTCCCCTCGGCCGCTGCGGCGCTGCGCCGGGGCACCTGCCGGGGCACCTGCCGGGACAGACCGGACGGCGGCCCCTCGCCCCGCCCCGAGCTGGGAGCCGCGCTCGGGAAGACTCCCAGGGAGACGTGCTGCGCCAGAAGGAGCTTTATTCTAGGTAGCCTTCTGGTGTGTGCCCAGAGATTTTGACATGTAAACGACTGTGATAGCCCTAAGGCAATTGGATTCCTATTTTCATCAATATAAGAAAAAACAAGAAAACGTTTTGGAAATGTGGAATATATCTGAAAACGCTTAATATGCTTAACACATTGGTTCAAAATTCCTAGTGCATTTACTTATTTGAATAGCTTTATTAATATAATGCACGCCAGGCAATGCATCCTTTTAATGTGTACAATTCTGTAGTTTTCAGTATGTTCACAGATATATACAATTGGCGCCACAATTTTTGCACATTTTTGCCACCTCAAAAGGAAACTCCTGCACCCTTTAGATATCACTTCCCCATCTTCCCGTCCTCCTCCCAGACACGCTCTTGGGCGACCTCTGCTCTTCCGGTCTCTATTTCCCTACTCTGGATTTACATATGAATGAAATCATATAATACGTTGTCTTTGTAGTTGACTTCAGTCGGTTAGCATAGTTTTTTCCAGGAACACCCATGTTGTAGTATGTATGAATACTTCATTTCTTTCTATGTCCAAAAAATATTCCATTGTATGGATAACACATGTGTTGTTTAGCTCTTCATCCTTTAATGGACATTTGGTTTGTTTCTACCTTTTGGCTGTTATGAATAACTTTGCAGTAAACTTTTGTGTATAAGTTTTTATTTGAACATATTGACAAATAGAAATGGCAAGCAATAGGATATATTGGAGTATATGAGGAAGCCATTTGGTGTAAACCTAATTCGGCCTGACTTTGTTTTTTCCAAAAGGGGCTGACATGGCAATCAACCATGCATTGTATATCTGCTTTAAACATTTCCTATGGCAAGAGGAAATGGCCTTAAGATAAAGGTGCAACTTCTCCCCACATTGGCATTTCCTTAAGGATTAAGCAGCTTTCCTTAGGCTAGGAACTGATTGCTGTGCTCACCTTTGACCACCCAGCTCACCTGTGACCACCCAGCTGGAGAGAACAGACCTGCCACCCTTCTGTGTTCACCGAGACAGCAGACCTACCTGCTGTTTCCATCAATCGCTGTGCCAACAGAGCAGTCTCTCGACTATTGTAAAAGGGACATTTCAATCATATGTGAAACATCCTCTCTGGGGGTATATAACCACTCTGTGCACCCCACTTCTTCGGTGCCCTTTCTTCCTTCAGGAAGAAAGGCCCCAGGCCATGGTCCTCAGATTTTAGCTCAGAATAAACTCTCCTAAATTTTCATTTATAGATTTGTTATGGATTATTTTCGTTGACAATATGTTTTCATTTCTCTTGGGCATATACCCAGGAATGAGTTGATGGGCCCCACAGTAATTCTAGGTTTAATTCTTGAGGAACTGACAGACTGTGTTCCAAAGTAGCTACAGCATTTTGTATTCCTACCAGCAGTGAATGAGGGTTACAATTTCTCTGTATCCTCCACAAAGGTTATCTCACTTTTTGATTCTAGCCATCCTAGTGGTTGTGAAGTGGTATCTCATTGAGGTTTTAATTTGAATTTCCTTGATTACTAATGATGTCTAGCATCTTTTCATGTGCTTTTGCCCCATTTGTACATCTTCTTTGGAAAAAATGTCTATTTACATCCTTTGACGTTTTAAAATTGGGTTATTTGACTTTTTTTATTATTGAGTTGTAAGGTTTTTTTATGTATTTTTGATACAAATCCCTTCTCAGATATATGAGTTGCAAAATTTTCTTCCATTCTGTGGTTTTATTGTCCCTCTCTTGCTTTAGAATTTTCGCTTTTAATTGTGGTAGTATGCACATGCTATAAAATTTACATCTTAAGTGTACAGTTCAATAGTGAGAAGTACATTGACATTGGGAAACCAATCTCAGAACTGTTTGCATCTTTCAGAATTGAAAATCTATACACATTAAACATCATCTCCCCATTCCCCCACCCGTGGCCCCGGCAGCCAGTGTGACTAGGAACAAGACAAGGGAATGGTTACTGAGAATCTGATCAATAAGTAACATTGTCAAATGTTTTCCAGACAAGGAGAAATTAAATGTGCTGTTTTTCAGAAGTTGACGGTCGTTTTTGCAGATGTTGCCATCCTGCAGTGAAACTTAGACAGCTGCAGCAAGACCCCCGCACATTGCTCCAGCTCCAAGTGTCCGCAAGTTACCGTGGAGCTCTTGTGCAATGCCACGTTCCTTGAACTCCTTATGTAATGGCCTGACCGTGTGCCCTGATTGAGTCCCGTTTTTACACAGTTGTAACATACCCTCTGCACTCTGGTGCATAAAGTCTCTATGAGCACTAAGCTCGGTGGGAGAAACACTGCTTTGGGAGCTATCCCCGGTGCTCTCCATGGCTTGTGCAATCCTTTCTTCACCTACTTCAGCCTGGATTGTGCTCTGTGGCTCTGCACTTACCAAGAGACAAACCCACTGATTTTGGTTCCACCACCATTCTACTTTCTGTCTCTATGAGTTTCACTATTCTAGGTACTTCATACAAGTGGATTCATATAGTTGTCCTTTTCTGACGGGCTTATTTCATTTAGCATAATGTCCTCAAGTTTCACCCATGTTGCAGCATATGTCACAATTTCCTTTCTTTCTAAATCTGAATAATATTTTATTGTATGTATATACTAAATTTTGTTATCCATTCATTCTCTGATGGACTCGTGGGTTGCTACCACCTTTTGGCTCTCACGAATAATGCTCCTATAAACATGGGCATAGAAATATCTGTTTGACTCCCTGCATTGATTTCTTTTGGTTGTATACCCAGAAGTAGTATTGCTGGATCACATGCTAACTCTGTATTTAATTTCTGAGGAACTACCATACTGTTTTCTATATTGGCTGTATCATTTTACATTCCCACAACAGTACACCTGGGTCCCAATGTGTGTTTTCACTGTTTTAATGGTATTCTTTTTTTTTGCCAAATCCGAGGGCAGGAATATTTTCCCTTACTTTTTTTCTGAGAGCATTAAAGTTTTACCTGTAATGTTTAGGTCTTTGATCCATTTTAGTAAATTATTCTATGCGGTGCGATATAAATGTTCAACTTCATTTTTTTGAATGTGACTGTCCACCCATCTCAGGACCAACTTTTGAAACAAATATTTTTTCCCCATTCTTGGCACCGTTTTCAGAAGTCAGTTGACCACAGAAGTATGGATTTATTTATGAAATCTCAATTCTATACCAATGATCTATATGTCTATCCTTGTGTCAGTACCACACTACTTTCATTACCATTGTTCGTAGAAAGTTTTGAAATAAGGAAATATATGTCCCCTTACTTACTTTGTTCTTAAGATTGTTTTAGCTATTCTGGATGACTTGCAATTCTATATGAATTTTTGAAACAGCTTGCCAATTTCTATACAGAAGTCAGCTGGGATTCTGATAAGGATAGCGTGGAATCTGTAGATATTTTGGGGAGTACTGTCATCTCAAAAATATTGTCTTCTGGTCTATGTACATGGGAGGTTATGCCATGTATTTAGACCTTTATTCATTTTACTCAACAATGTTTTGTAGGTTTTAGAGTTTCTGTTTGGTTTCCCTTTTCTCAGATTTATTCCTAACTATTTTATTCTTTTGATGCTGTTGTACATAGATTTATCTTGTTAATTTCATTTTTAGATTGGTTGTTGCAAGTGTATAGAAATACAGTTGATCTTTTTTTCTTTTGAGGAAGATTAGCCCTGAGATTACTGCTGCCAATCCTCCTCTTTTTGCTGAGGAAGACTGGCCCTGAGCTAACATCCGTGCCCATCTTCCTCCACTTTATGTGTCGGACGCCTACCACAGCATGGTGTGCCGAGCGGTGCCATGTCCACACCCAGGATCCAAACCGGCGAACCCCAGGCTGCCGAAGCGGAATGTGTGCACATAACCACTGAGCCCCCGGGCCGCCCCGAAATACAGTTGATTTTTATGTATTGATCTTGTATCCTACAACCTCGCCAAACTCAATGATCAGTTCTAAGGTGTTTTTTTTAGCGAATTCCTTAGAGTTGTCTATATACAAGATATGCAATCTACAGATAGAGATAGCCTTACTTTTTCCTATCCAATCTGGATTCATTTTATTTCCTTTTATTGTGTAATTGTTCTAGCTAAAACTTCTAGGATATTGTCAAATAAAAGTGGTAAAAGCAGACATCTTTGTTTTCTTCCTGATATCCAGGGGAAAGCATTCAGTCTTTCACCATTGAATATAATATCAGCTGTGATTTTTTTCACAGATGCTCATTTTCATGTTAAGGACATTTCCATCAATACCTGGTTTGTGGAGGGTTTTTATCATGAAAGGGTGTTGGGTTTTGTCTTATACTTTCTATGAGTCTACTGAGATGATTATGCCATTTTTGTGTATTACTCTACTAATGCTTTGTATTGCATTAATTGATTTTGAGACATTAACTCGACCTACTATCCCTGGAATAAATCCAACTAAGTCATGTCGTATATTTGTTTTCAGAGGTTGCTGGATTAGGTTTTCTAGTACTGTTGTTTTTTTGTTTGTTTTTTTTTATCCATTTTCACAACAGAAATTGGTCTCCTGATTTTCTGTGATGCTTTTGTCTGGCTTTGGAATCAGAGTAATACGTGTCCCAAAGAATGAGTTTGAAGTGTTGTGTTGATTCTGTTTTAGGGGAGGGTTTGTGAAGAGTCATGTTAAATTTTTGAATGTTGTAGAATTCCATGATGAAGCCATCTGGGCCTGGGCTTTTCTTTTGGGGTAGGTTTTTGGTTAGTAATTCAACCGTGTCACTTGTTCTAGTCAGATTTTCTGTTTTGTCTTGACTTAAATTGGGTAGTTTGTGTATTTCTAGAGATTTGTCCATTTTGTCTAAGTATCTAATTTGTTGGCATACTGTTGTTCGTTGAATTCCTATATTATCCACTTTATTGCTGAAAGGTTCATGGTAATAGTCCCTCTTTCCGTTTGATTTTAGGAATTTGAGTCTTCCCTCTTTTTCTCTAGGTCAATCTAGCTAAAGATTTGTCAATTTTGTTGATCTTTTCATAGAACCCACTTGATTTCATTGATTTTCTGTATGATGTTTGTATTCTCTCATTAATTTCTGCTCTCATCTTTATCATTTCCTTCATTTCGTTGTTTAGGTTTGGTTGCTCATCCTTTCACATGTGTTAAGGTGGAAGATTAGGTTATTGATTTGAGATCTCTCTTCTTTGTTAGTATAGGCAGTTATAGCTATAAATGTTTCTCTAAGTACTATTTCAGAAGCAGCCCATAAACTTTTGTGTATTGTGCTTATTTCCGTTCAACACAAACTATTATTCTCATTTTGGTATTGATTTCTTCTTTGACACATTGGTTGTTTAGGAGTATGTTGTTTAATTTCCTCATGTTTCTGAATTTCTCCAATTTTTTCTAAGTTGATGTCCAACTTCATTCCATTGTTGTCACAAACCATGTTGTATTTATTCGTAGTGTTTTAAATTTAATGAAGTTTGTTTTATGTCCTAGCATTTGTTCTACCCTGAAGAAAGTTCCATGAGCATTTGCGAAGAACATATATTTTGTTGTTGGGTAGTATTCTGTAGCTATCTTAGGTATACTTGGTTTATAGTGTTTTACAAGTCTTTTATTTCCTTGTTGATCTTTTGCCTAGTTGTTGTGTATAATATTCAAAGTGGGATATTGGAGTCTCTGATTGTTATTATTATTTGTTTTCCCTTCATTTCTGTCACTTTTGCTTCATTTATTTTGGTACTCTGTTATTAGGTGCATATATGTTTATAATTATTATAGCTTCCTGATGAATTACCCTTTTTCATGATATATCCCTGTTTCTCAGGTAATGTTTTTTGTTTTAAAGTCTGTTTTTTTCCTGATGTTAAGATAGTGCCTCCAGTTTTCTGGTAGGTAGTGTTTACATATGTATCTTTTCCCCATCCTTTAACTTTCAGTCTTTTGCATCTTTGAGTCTAAAAGCATTTCCTGTAGGGGGCATATAGTGGGATCTTTTTGTTGTTGTTAAATCTATGGTGATAATCTCCAACTCTTGATTGGATTATGTGACCTATCACATTGGGTATTTTAGATATAATTCCAATTACATCCACATTTTCCTTTTTGTTTTCAACAGCTCTCATGTCTTTTTAAGTCCTACTTCTTCTTTATTGATTTCTTTTCCATTAAGTTGAAGGTTTTCTAATGTAACATTTTACCTTTTTAAGTGAATTTTTCCTAAACAGACAATAGGGCAGGGTTAGTGTAGTTCTTGGGCCTTAGACTGGTGAGTGGGGTCTTCCCCCTGTGTGTCCCTTAGATAAGACCCTGGTGAAACTCACCAGAATAAACCAATCCAACCTTAGCTCAGGAACACAAAAGCACTCCACTGTGAACCCAAATAAAGGCATGTGTCCCAGAGAATGCTGCTGTCTGCCTACACCCTGGCTTGAGCTTCCTGTGTGGCTCCTGAAGGGGTGTTGTGTACCTCCTCCAGGACCTGTGGGTAATAAACTTCATCATTTCAATTTCCTTGTGGTCCTTTGTTGAACTGTGGCTCACCATCCGAAACCCCAGGGCTCTACTCAATAAATGTTAATTTAACAAAGACACAACAGTGCTATAAGTTTCTCCCTAAGCACTGCCTTTGCTGCATTCCACAAATTTGATAAGCTATGTTATCATTTTCATTTAGTTAGTTCCAAATATTTTTAAATTCCTCTTGAGGTTTCTTTTTTGACCCATGGTTATTTAGAAGTATGTTGTTTAATCTCAGTATATTTTGCATTTTTCCAGTTCTTTGTATTATTGATTTCTAGTTTAATTCTGTGGTGATCTGAGAGCAGACATTGTATGATTTCTATACTTTTAAATTTGTTCAGGTGTGTTTTATGTCCCAGAATGTGGTCTATCTTGTGAATGTTCCATATGAGCTTAAGAAGCATGTGTATTCTGCTGGTTTTGGATGAAATAGACTATAGATTTCTTTTGTTGTTTTTTTTTTAGGAAGATTAGCCCTGAGCTAACATCTGCTGCCAATCCTCCTCTTTTTGCTGAGGAAGACTGGCCCTGAGCTAACATCCATGCCCATCTTCCTCTACTTTATATGTGGGACACCTGCCATAGCATGACTCGCCAAGTGGTGCCATGTCTGCACCAGGGATCTGAAGCAGCGAACCTCAGGCTGCCAAAGTGGAACATGCGAACTTAACCACGGTGCCACCAGGCTAGCCCCAATACAGATTTCTATTACATCCAGTTGATTGATGCTGTTGTTGAGTTCAACTATGTCATTATATAACCATATTTTACTACAACAAAAATTCTCCACTAATGTGAAATGTTAGGTCAAGTTTCTGTACAAAAGTGAGTGTGGTAGGCAGAATTCTACAACAGCCCCTTGATCTCTGCTTGCTTTTGTTACACCCTTCATCATCCTCTCCCCTTGACATTGGCCAGATTGTGACTTGTTCTAGACAATTGAATATGGTAAAGGTGATGCGATGGCACTCCAGTGATGAGATTTCCTTATATAAGAAATGAATTAAATATATCTTTTCTCTTTTCTTGTATTTCCTTTTGCAAGGAAGTGGTTTAGAATATCCGACCATTCATATGAAATTTTCCCCACCAACCTATAGGCCAAGAGTCTATGGCCTATTATCCATCATCAAATATAATCATTTATTGTTGTTTTGTGTCTCCAGGTGAAATATTATACTTAAAATGCTATAATATTTTATGTGAAATCTTCAGTGGTTGTAGAAACCTAGCATTTTGAGCATAAAATATTCTATATCTGCTTATTATGGTATTAAGAAATTATTTGTATTTTATTACATATGATAATGGTATTTTCATTATTTTTTCTGTTCATCTGTTAGATATAGGTAGTAAAACTTCTACTAACTTAATTATATAATATCTTATCTTTAATTTAAAATACCACAAGAGGATATTTGGAGTTGATAATGATATCAAACCTGAAGTGAGTTTGCTCACCCCTTGCACAGCAAGCCAATCTCTGACACTGGGTGTAGTGGAAGAAAGTGGGAATTTTATTATTGTACAGCACTGAGCGAGGAGAGAGGGCAGGTAACGCTGAAATCCTAAACTCCTCGAGAAGCTGAAAGGAAGGGTTTTTATTTGGGGGTTTACTTAGGGGAGGAGGAGCACATGGCCTTGCTGGTCTTGGCTTTCCCACCAGCCTGTCTTTGGCCTTGAGACACTTGCAGAGAGGAGAGAGCCTGTGACCTTGCTGGTCAGCAGCTTTCCCACCAGCCTGTATCTCTTTGCGAGGAGGAGATAATGAATCCAGGTGCTTGTCCTTGGTGGTGTCTGTCTCCGTGGAGGATGGTGGATTCTGGAGCCAGGAAGCCAGGGAGTAAGCAGGGAATTAGTGTTTTGGTTTTAACCCCATATATGCTGGATTTAATGTAGGGAAACTGGTATCAGGGTCAGTATCAATGTCATCTGCAATAAAATACAGATCTGCTTCTTCTTTTCCAGTTTGGAGGATTTTCTTTGTTTTTCTTGTGTGATTTCTGTAGCTAATACCTCCAGTACAATGTTGAATAGAGTGGTACAACTGGAAATTCTTGTCTTGTTCCCAAACTTACAGGTAAGGTATCCTGTCTTTCACTATTAAGTATAATGTTGACTGTAAGGTTTTCAAAGATGTCTTTTAGCAGGTCTCAGAAGTTTCCTTCTATCAGTACTTTTTAGGTGGTTTATCATGAATGGGTTTTGGATCAGTCAAATGTTTTTCTGTGTCTACTAAATTGATAATTTCTTATACTTTATTCAAATAATACTGTGTATTACCTTGATTGGTTTTTGGCTATTAAGCCAAAATTGCTTTTGTGAGAAAAACCCACTTGGTCATGTATGTAATCATTTTTATATGTTGCTGTATTCAATCAGCTAGTATTTTATGACAAGTTCTGTGCCTATATTAATATGGGATATTGGTTCATAATCTTCTTTATTTTCATGCTTTTGTCTTGCTTTGCTCTCATGTTAAAACTGGCCTCGCAGAATGAATTGGGAAGTGTTAACTCTTCTTCTATTTTTGGAAGATTTTGTGAAGAATTGGTATTAAATCTTCATTAAATGTTGGTAGAATTTACCATTTAAGCTATTGAGTGTGGGCTTTCTTTTGTGTAACTATTTCTAGTTAACATTTCATCTTTACATGTTATATGACTATTCATATATTCTATTTCTTTAGAATATATACACAGGTATACCTTGGAGATATTGCAGGTTTGGTTCCAGACCACCACAATAAAGCAAATATCACAATAAAAGTGAGTCGCATGAATTTTTTGGTTTCCCAGTGCATATAAAAGTTATGTTTACACTATATTATAGTCTATTCAGTCTGCAATAGCATATGTCTAAAAAAACAATGTACACATGTTACTTAACAATACTTTGTTGTTAAAAAATGCTAACCATCATCTGAGCCTTCAGCAAGTCATAATCTTTTTGCTGGTGGAAGGTCTTATAAAAAATGCAGTATCTTCAAGGCACAATAAAGCAAAGCACAATAAAAATGAGATATACTTGTGTATATAAATTCTGTTTCTTGAGTTTACTTTTAATTTGTGACTATCAATATATTTATGTGTAATTTGTAGTAGTCTCTGGTAATATATTTTCTAGGCAATTTACGTGGAATAATCTAGAATAATAATATAGAACGAAGCTTTAGCCCAATGAATGAATGAACCACAGGTTCCTCTGTTGCAGGATTGAGAATATGACTATAACTATTTTAATGAATACTCATATTTATTGTGTGAAACAAATGAGTTACTGAATATAAGAGAAATTAGTGAACCTGCCATTTGACTTTGGATTTTATGAAGAAGGCACACTGAGACTACCTCCTACTTTTATTAGTTTTTATATAATACAGGAAATAATTTTTAATAAGAATAAATACAAAATATTATAATTGGAACATGGGATGGACAAAAGAAAATTTGATTAATCAGAGTGGCTAGTACTTAGCACATACAATGTGTTAGGCACTATTCTAAGCCATTACTCATTTATGGACATAATATCTAAGAGTTTAACAATGAATAACCCAAAGATCATGGGAAATGACAAATTGGCACATTATCAATCATATTAGGTACATTGAAGCCATGATAGAAATCAACTGTTTTTGTATACAACAAATACATGAACATACATAAAGAATATTAAATAACTTAAAATTATAGTTTCACTAATTAGTCATAGACATAAATAGGCAGAATTTTGAAGAGCAAAGAGAGGATGCACATTATTTTCAAATACCAAACAAAAGTATTTTAAAACTAAGTTCTTTGTCCTTCAATAATGAGTTAATTATGTTCTATTTAAGGTAGATAAAAGTAAACCCACCAATAATTAAAAGTGGTTACCCAGGGGAAGTAGGGCTTAGATGGGGTGAGAGGATTTTACATTTAGTTTCATAGTTGCCTATGTTCTTGTGGTTCACCACTGCACACTTGTGTTATTCTTTCAACATTCATTATATCCTCTTTTTATGCAAGGAGCTAGACACACGGATTCATCAGCTCTACAAAGATACATCAGGGCTAGTCTCCAACTTTCAGAAACTCTGCTACTTTGGGAGATGGGTGTGAACCCCAGAGCCCATGACTCTCACTGGGATCCACAGGCTCTGGTACAGACATCATAGCCTGGTCATGTCTCTGGGTGGCCTGGAGAGAATCCCACCCTCCTCTTCCTTAGGGAACTGCTCACACCCCACTGTCTCTCATCCACTCACCCTCTCACAACCAACGGTTCCTCTGTTTTGACTTGTCCTTGTTTTCCTCCTTCTTCTTTTAAAAATAGAGCCTCCAGCTGGATAACTCCATGAGGCCTGAACTAAATGAAATCACCTGTGAGATGTGGTAGAAGCTGGTGCTTTTGCAGAAAGCAAGGCCAAGAAGAGAAGGACTGTGATTGGGGAGGATGCTGTTCCTTCACACTGTATCCATTCAAGAGTGTCGCAAAGGGAAGAGGTCCCTAACAACTGCCATGTCTGTAAAGAGCTTCTTGACTGTATTAGTTATCTATTGCTGTTGTTAAGAAGAAACAACAGGTCCAAGATGGAGTCACTTGTCCTAAGCCCCATCAAGACTTAATACCTAACCTAACCACAGTTTCAGGCTCTCCCAGGAGTGGAGTTTGAAAGCAATCAGTCTGGAATTTCTTGGCCAGCACTAGTGAGGGAATCTGCCTGATAGGACCCCCTGCCTCCTCCTAAGGGAAGATGGCCTTGCCTGAAATAATCCACTCTTTTAACTTCCTTGTCCCACCTTCTTTCTGCCTATAAAAACCTCCCATTTTGTACACTCCTTGGTGCTCCCTTCTGTTTGCTACATGGGATGCTGCGTGACTCATGAATCACTTAATAAAGCCAATTAGATCTTCAAATTTATTCAGTTGAATTTTTGTTCTTCAACACCGTGTAACAAATTACCCTAAAACTTAGTGGCTCAAAACAAGGGTTTATTATCTCCTAGTTTCTGAGGGTCAGAAATCTAGGATCCATTCAGCTAGGTGGTTCTCCATCAAGGTCTTTCATGAGGTTATAGTCAAGCAGTCAGCTGGGCTGCATCTTCCAAAGCCTTGCCTGGGGCTGGAGGGTTTGCTCCCAAGATGGTGCACTCACATGGCTGGCAGTTGGTGCTGACTGCCTCAGTTCTCCTGCACATGGCCTCTGATTCTTTAGGTCCTCTCCAGCAGGTTAGTCTAAATTTCTTTCTATGGTTACTAGGCAGAGAGAGAGCGTGCGCGAGCCATTGAACAGAAAGTACTATAAAGACAGAAGCTGCAGACTTTTCAGAATCTAATTTTGAAGGTGACTGCTGCCATATTCTATTAGTCACTCAAGGGGAAGGGGTTAAACAAAGCCATGAAGATGGGAGATAATGTTGGAGGCCATCTTAGAGGTACCTACTACTGACCTAGGAGCAGGTCAAGGTTTTGTGTTCCATTCCTGCTTGGGAAATGCGGAGCCCCATCCCTGCTGGGATTCCATGTGGTACTGAGGAGGAAGCACTCTATCAGAGGTCCTGCTCATTTTGTCTTCTGGTTTGTCTCATTTGATCATCTCTCCTGTTTTGTCTCTTAATGCTTTTATATTTTGGCTTTCTATGTGGTAAACTAAGTGGTCCCAAACCCCCAGTAGGCCCACCCTGGGGGTCAGGCTTCCTGGGGTTTAGTTAACCTGGTTTTCTTCTTGGCTGAGCTATGGGAGGCTCCAGTGGGTGTGGACTCTTCTCCACCCTCATCATGAGCAGCCAGGAGAGGCTGGTTAGGGTTGGGTTTACTGTAAGAACCCTGCACCTAGGGCCATTCTGACCTCCAAAACCCTTTGACCACTAGTCTCAATTCCCTTCTCTTCCCTCCTTCTCTGGGGTTCTCAGTAAACTGTTCTCAGGATGCAGGAAGAGTGCTCTGCATGGGACTGTCCTCTCCTTCTTAAACTTTCCAAAGGGGAAATTTGACAAGCTGAGATGGGAATAAGGATGAGATGGACCTATGCCTTCAGGGCTTCCAAGTCTCTCCCCCCAGACTCTTCCTCATTCCACTGCATGGACAATTTGACCAAGACACTCACTTTTGGGTAGCATTGCCTTTCCAGATGACTTCATGTTGTTCCTTCTTAGCCATGAAGAGCAGTGATGATAATATTTACAGAATTACATGCTGGACCCTATTCTAGGTGCTTTATGTGCTTTAACACATTGAATCCGCACAACACTACCTGGATCTGGGTGGACATCCTATGTAGGATGTAATATTATTATCCCCATTTTACCTATTGAGAAACTGAGACACTGGGAGGTTAACTGACTTGCCCAAGGTCATATGGCAAGGCATGTTGGAGCCAGGATTTAACCTTAGGATTCTTAACCTCTCCACTAGGTCTCTTTCGGTTCACCTCCATTCAATATTAACTTCACTCTCTATCTCAGTGAATGTTTATAATAACCTCTGATAAACGCTCCCCTAGGAGCAGAAGCCTGAAGATGGGCCAAAACTTCTACACCTTGGTCTAGTTGAGATACAGCTACCAAGTTCAGACTGCACTGTTTACCTGGGTGAAATCTCCCCAGGTAAATGGGGCGAAGGAAGGGGATGATGCAGGGCAGGAGGGCTGGTACTGTGAGGACCGAAGCCTTCCCACAGCGGTGAGAGCCACGTTGTGATACTTCCAGTTGTGGAGAGTGGGATTTCAAATTTTACTTGAAAAAAATCTGTCATAAAAAACAATTTTTATGCTACATGTATCTAACAATGAGAAAATCTAGATCTATGGCCTGAAATGGTGTCTGATTAGGAGACTTTGCATGGTGTCTATACAGGCTGGGTTAACTATATACCAGTGAGGTCATAGACAGTGAGTTAGTTTCCTCAATGCTGAAAATTGAATTAAATTTCCTATGACAAACATAAGAAATAACTTTAGCAGATAATATAACGTAGGTGAACAAACACTTTAAGTGAATTTTAAACACACCTTTCTAGAGCAAACATAATCTAACAGGTACTGCTGCTTCCTATAAGTGTGATTAATATACCTGAAGATTACAGGTATTAATTTGAGTGATAGCTTGGAAGGAAACATCTTTCCAAGATAAACTGAAAGCAGAGCTCTGCTCACCTCCTGCCGCAACCTCCCCTTGGTTGATAATCCTTAGTCCACTGTGTTCTTGCAGCCAGCATAAGTATTTCCTAATTTAATCTTCATTGCCTCATTAATTAATCTTTCTTTATTACCTGCGCTTTGAATTCTTAAAGTACTTGTGGCAGCAATGTTGATTCAGTCTGCCATGTTTTTCTCAACATGTACCATTTGACTTGTAATCTCTCTGTCGTTATTAACCAATGTAAGTCCACGAGGAAACTCCAATAAGCATTCTCCCTAACCTGCAGTACCTCTGGCAAGGTTGTCCTTTTAAATTTCTTACCAAATGTAGAGGCGGAGATGCTGCCATTTGGCTTGTGTCCTGTCCTCCCCATTGCAGGCAGAGGGTGCGCCTAGGAAATATTTATCCAGAGCTTATGCTGTGCTGGGTGCTGGGGATATACTGATGAGCAAGGGGGAAGAGTCGGAGCAAGGACTAAGTAGCATAAATAGTCTGACATACTTGAGGATGCTGCAAATGGTTTGCTATTGCTGGAAATAATAGCATGACACCAGGAGTGGTGGGAGATGACGATGAGGGTGGGTAGTGTCAGGGACTGGAATTGGCCACCCCAAGATAGGTGTCTTTGGCATGAGGATTATTTTGGGCTAGTTACTTGTAAAAACTACAGACATGAGAGAAACTCTGAGAAGTAGAAGTTACACTTTGTAAGAGACATTTACATTTGTAAGAGAAATCTCCATCTGTAAAGGTGTCTCCCTCTCTGTACCAGGAAGAAGGGGGGATGACCTTATCTCTAGAAACTCTTATCAATGCGGAAGGCAAGGACTTAAATCTGCATAATAACCGTATTCATGTTTACTGTACTTTTCTGGTTATTTCCCATAACTGACTCCCCCACCCCCAACATCCTCCTTTGTCTTTAGCTATTTAAGGTGAGAGCTTCAACCGTTTGGTGAGTTATTCAGTTTTTCTGGGTCTCTCCCATGTATACATGTTATAAAGCTTTGTTTAATTTTCTCCTGTTATTCTGTCTCATGTGAATTTAGTTTGTAGTCCAGCCAGAAGGACCCAGAGTGGGTAGAGGAAATGTCTTCCTCTCCTACACAGCCATGCAAGAAAGTGAGAGCATGAGTCTCAAATCCACTTCCCTGAAAATAGGGACTCAGGGATATTTATGGGGCAGGGGGCAAGGTGGTCTGAAGTGTGGAGATAGGTGATTGGAGGTGAGGAGAGGTGAGGTAGTTGATGATCTGCACAAGCGCAGTCAGACCCCATGGCTCTTCATAGGACCCAGGTTCACAAAATGGTGGCATGGGCATGATCTGAGGGTAGAGTTTTTAGCCTCTTGACATCAAAATGTTGCCTATCAGACATCTGCATGGGCCCAGTTGATGAGTTGGTGGTCTCAATCAGCCTGGAATGGACAAAGGGGTCCTAATTCCTGAAAAACAGTTCAAACACCCATTACCATAGTGACCCAGGCTCCAGGGAGATGTTATCTGTGGGAGCCTAGTGGGAGTCAGATAGCATGTTGCCTAAACAGCACAGTTAACAATGGGGGGGGGGGGGGGGGGGGGGCGGTTAAACAGCCAAAAGCTATAATCAGTAATTGCAAAAAGGAAAAAAACCTTTAGCTCCTAGCTACTTAATCAGCAACAGCTAACTCTTTGCTGGTTTCACCATCAAATCTCTAGTCTCGAGGACACCTCTGGCTATCCCAGAATAGAGTACTCCAATACCAAGCTATGCTGCTAGGTTCCCCTCATATTTCTTTAAAACCCTGTCATACCTTAAACCCAGCTACCCTGCTCCCTGATTCCAACGGGCCTATTTCCCATGCTTGCCCAGCAGTGATTGATCAGGTTTACTCTAGCCCCAGAGATCTCCAGAGTGAACCATCACCTAATGCAGAGGAAGTGTGGCTTGTAGATGGGAGCACCTTCATGAGTAACAGACAAGGAAGAGCAGGTTATGCAGTAGTGTCTCTGCATGAGACCACAGAAGCCAAGGGGCTGACGCCAGGCACCTCGTCCCAAAAGGCAGAAATAATTGCATCAACCAGAGCTTTAGAATTGGGAAAAAAGTAATAATAATAACAACAATATACACAGACTCTAAACATACTTTCTCTGTAATTCACGCTCATCGAGCCATTTGGAAAGAAAGAGGACTTCCTTTTTTTCCTCCCTCCCTCGCAAGCCCCCCAGTACATAGCTATATATTCTAGTCGTGGGTCCTTCTAGCTCTGCTATGTGGACGCCACCTCAGCATGGCTTGATGAGCGGTGCTAAGTCCACGTGAGGATTTCAACCGGCAAAAGCCCGGACCACCAAAGAGGAGCGCACAAACTTAACCACTCAGCCACAGGGCCAGCCCCAAAAGAGGGCCTCTTCAGAGCAGCAGTAAAGAAATCAAACATGGGCCAGAGACCCTTAAACTGCTAGAAGTGGTACAGAGCCCCAGGGAAGCAGCTGGGGTCCATTGTAAAGGCCACCACAGTGGGGGAATCAGAGGCCACAAAAGGAAATAACTTGGCAGCTGGAGAGCTTCTCCAGTTACGATTAATTCCCACTCTACCCTTCTAAGAATTTACACCAGTCTATCCCCCGGATGAAGTAAGGGAAGCCACTACACAAGGTTACCAGTGGTCCCCGATAGTCAAGGGCTGGATGATAAATCCACAAGGAAAGATCTGGGTCCCCAAACAAACAGCTTGAAGTCTCCTTAAGAGTGTTCATGCTGTCTTAAAACTTGGAAAAGCACTGTGTTCCAAGAACAGCTAAATCCTATTTGCGTAGGGCCTCATTTGGTGTCACTAACCACACACTCTTCCCTAAAATTAGAAGGATTCACTCCTTGGATCCACCACGCAAGGGCGAAAAAGGTGCCCATGCCTGAAAATAAGAGAGATCATCACAGGTTCCCAGGTAGGGCTTGACACCCAAAGACTGAATCCTGGGCCCCTGGAATCAGACGGGACTGAGAGGAGGAGGGGCCCAGAGCTGGTCTTCTCAGGGGCTCTCCCGCTGTTTCTCAAGCACACAACCTCCCTGCTCTTCCTTGCCCGTGTAGCAGGGGAGAGGGCACAGGGGGAACTATCCTGGCTGCCCCGTGCTCTGGCCCCATCCCGAGAAGAGGCATCCAGCACTCTACATCTTCAACTCCAAAGGGTTGAGGGAGGAGGCAGGAAGAAGAGAAAGCCCCTTGATAGCAACACGTCAGGCAACAGGCCAAGCTAGAGGTCTCCCCAAAAGTCACTGATGATCAGAACACCCTGCTCCTGAGCTCCCCAAGTTTGTGTGCTGCCCGAGGCTGGCCTGGCCTGCATTCCAGCCTCCGCACTTATAGCCTCTCACTCTCAGCATCAGTGTACAGGCCAGCCCTGCCCCAGTGAAAAGACCAAAGTGCAGGGGGATCTTAATTTCAAGGTTTAAATCACAAGTGATATGTACTAAAAATTAAATATATGCATCCCTCTGACCCAGCAACTCCACTCCTAAATCTTATGCCCAAGAAAGAAATGCATACTTACGTTCACCAAACAACAAATTCAAGTATTCAAAGCACTGTTCATAATAGCCCAAAACTGGGAACAAGCCAAATGCCCATCAACAGAAGAACAGACAAATAAACTTGCTCTACTTACACAACAGAATATTGACACCAAATTGGAATGAGCAATCTATTACTATATACAATGGCATGGAGGAATCTCCTGGACATGAAGTGAAATGAAAAGAGCCCAGCATAAAAGTGCGCACTGTATGGTATGAAGCATCCATTTCTGTGAAGTTCAGGAAGAGAAAAAACAAATCCATGGTTAAAGAAGGCGGGAGAGAGAGTCCCTGGGGGTGGGGAACACATGGAAGTGTATCTGGGGTTTCTGGGGGTGCTCTTGTTTTGAATGTCCACTTTGAAAATTTATTGGAGCTGTAAATTTATGATTTGTCCTTTCTGTGTACATGTTACATTTGAAGAGGAGCAGAGAGACAGAACCACCAATATTCCCAGAGTCTGTAACAGTAAGACCAGCCGCAAACCCACAACTAGACCCGAGGCAGGACTGCCAGAGGGTGAGGGAGAACCTGAGTCCCACACCCAGAAGGAAGGAGCAAGCCAGAAGCGCAGCATCAGAAGGCACTCTGGATGCCTGCGCTCCGGCCTCTCAGCCCCGGGGTCAGCAAACTGCTTCTGTAAAGTGCCAGGTAGTAAATGCTTTAGACTTTTCTGGCCACATACAGGCTCTGTCCACATATTCATCTTTGTTTTCTTTTTTGACAACCCTTTTAAAATTTCAAAACCATTCTTGCTCTTGGGCCTTACTAAAGAAACTGAGGGCCAGGGGCTGGCCTGGTGGCACAGTGGTTAAGTTTGCACGTTCCGCTTCAGAGGCCTGTGGTTCCCCGGTTGAGATCCTGGTGCCGACATGGCACAGCTTGGCAAGCCATGCTGTGGTAGGCAGGCATCCCACATATAAAGTAGAGGAAGATGGGCATGGATGTTAGCTCCGGGCCAGTCTTCCTCAGCAAAAAGAGGAGGATTGGCAGCAGATGTTAGCTCAGGGCTAATCTTCCTCAAAAAAAAAAACAAAGAAAAGAAAAGAAAAGAAACTGAGGGCCAGATGTGCCAACCCCTGTGCAACTCAGCCCATGCTAGACCACTTTTCTGGTAACTCTGACAGGTGGTCCCCAGCGTCTCTGTGACAAGGGCTTGCCTCCTCTCCATGAACTGGAAGTTAATCACTTGCAGTTGAACTCTAGTGCTGCGTTGAGGACAACCGTGGGTCACCCGCGTAGCTCGGAGGCGGACCTGTGGGCGCTGCCCTGCTCCTAGGCGCCCAGCTAACGCTTCCCCTGTTGGCAGCGCATTAAGATAGCCGGCTGGACCACCCCCCACAACCTGGTGCAGACCCTTCAGGAGGAGGCGGTGTGCGCCATCTGCCTGGAGTACTTCACGGACCCCATGTCCATCGGCTGTGAGCACAACTTCTGCCGAGGGTGTGTGACCCAGCTGTGGGGAGGGGAGGATGAGGAGGACAGGGACAAGGAAGAAGATGAATGGGAGCAGGAGGAGGAGAATGACGAGGCGGAGGGGGCCGTCGGTGGATCGGACAACTCCACTGGAGAGGTTTTGTACCAGGGGAATGTTGACAAGGAGTTGTTCCAGAAGCAAGAGGATGATGAAGTCTGGGTCGGTGGTGGTGGCATAAGGAATTGGGGCAACATGGATTATGTGTGGGACCAGGAGGAAGAAGAGGAGGAGGAAGATCGGAACTATTACCTGGGAGGCCTGAGACAGGACCTGAGAATTGATGTCTACCCGGAAGAAGAGGAGGAGATACTGGAAGAATACGATGAGTACGATGAAGAGCTGTATCCTGACACCCACCTGCCTCCTCCCCCGGCCCCTCCACGGCAGTTCACCTGCCCCCAGTGCCGAAAGAGTTTTCACGTCACTGCTTTCGTCCCAACCTGCAGCTGGCCAGCATGGTCCAGGTGATTCACCAATGTGCTCCACTCCTTATCGAGGGAGCCGGGGGACCCAGCAGGGCATTTGCCCCAAACACCAGGAAGCCCTGAAGCTCTTCTGCGAGGTGGATGAAGAGGCCATCTGTGTGGTGTGCCGAGAATCCAGGAGCCACAAACAGCACAGCGTGGTGCCTCTGGAGGAGGTGGTGCAGGAGTACAAGGTGAGAGGCAGAAGGAGGGAGTACGGGGGTTGGAAGGGGGTGGAGAGGAAACGGGGAGCTGGGAGAGGTGGTACTTACTAGTTGAATGTCTTTTTTGTAAAGGATGGGGGACATGGTGGAGAGCAATGGGCATATGTAGACAGAGGAGACATCGGCTGAGGCCAGTGTCCTTCCCCAGAGGAAGCTGAGCAAAGACATATGACAGTCACCAGAAGCTGACCACTGTTGTTATTCCCTTTCAGTCTACCTAAGTTTGACGGGTATAGGTGACAGATCCCTAGTATTTAATTACCGTCTAATGTGAGTCCTGAGTCTATACCGGACCAAGACTCCAAGACCTCAGATAATAGACATTTGGGACCTCAGAGCACAAGGAGTGTCCAACAGATCGCTGGTATCAGCAGACTGAAACTCCAAGTGAGCCCTGGACTAATAAGAGCAACCGGGCACGCCTCCCTCCCAGAGTCTGGAGTTGCTTCCCGACTTCAGTAAGGTCCATTTTGCCTGTAGAGAAAGGCAGAAGACATGCACTTTTGATGGATTAGAATAAACCTCATGTCCTGATCACTTTCCTGTCCTGGTATTTTATCTTAGTGGAGAGTGAGGGATTTAGGATCAGATGCCCTGGCTCTGCCACTGTCTAATCTTGGGCAGGTCTCAACCTCTTAGACTTGTTCAGATTAAAAGGGATCATGTATGTGAAAGTATTTTATAAACCATAAAGCACTACACAGATGTTTGGTTTTTCATTTGACTTTCATCTAATTTGTCTTCCCTTCCTTGGGAATTGATTTGGTTAATGCCTTGCTTTCTAGTCCTAACCTGAGCATTAGAGAATTGTCTCAATGATAGTCAGCGTGAATACTGTCTTCCTCACCAAAAGCCTAGGTGGGTGTGCTGCTAGCAGTACCCAAAGAAGGTTTTCTTTAGGCCCACAAAAGTCTTAACCTGGATATTCAGGGGCAGCTGCTCACATCTCAGTAGTGCTTTACAGTTTATAAAATGTTTTTCCTCATGTTCTCCTACAGAAAACTATGGTTTTCAAACTATGGATTTTGACCAATTAATGTGTCTTAAAATACATGGGTCATCCCTAGCATTATTTTAAAATGAAACAGAAGAGAAAATATCAGAGTGCAAGGAGCGTAGTAAGGGTAATTAGTGTTTTATGAAACTTTTAACTTATGTGTGCGTGTGTATGTTTTGTCTCAACGTAAAATGTACTCCTTACTCTGGGTTGCAGTCAAAATACAGACAGAACACTGTCCTACAGGCATCATATATTAGATATTATCGTCACCCCTCGCCCCCCATTTTACAGTAACTATTGGTAAATGCATAAGGCAAGTCTTAACTTAAATCACTGCTAATTCCATCATACTAATCTGACTTTAAGGACAAACTCTAGCAGTGTGCTTTCCTCCAAGGTGGTAATTCAGTTTGCCTACAGAAGAAACTGTCCTATGTTTCTGGTTTTTAGTACACTAAAGCTGAGGAAAGGAGGTAACTTTTCGTTCTTCTGCTAGAATTTTCTGGAAAGGACTTTGAAACCAAAATTTTAATTGAAAGGCAATTTAGACAAGAGAAAAGAGATGGTCTCTTCAATTGGGGAGGCCAGATAACACTCACTTAAAACCTGAGAGATTACTTATAAAGCCCATCAGTGTAAAGGGCAAAACCAAGTTAAACAAATTGGGGATAATCCCTTTCTGAAATACAGAATGTTTAAAAGAAATTAAAACTTGTTTTCAAGCATACCAGAACTTAGGTAGATGCTATTGTCAAGTACAGTGAAGGGAAAATGGAGGCGCTGTGGACAATTAGATTGGAGCAGTTTCCGGGCAGAAGTGACTCAGCATGTCGGCTGCAGGCAGCGCATGCACTGAACCTTGTATATAAACATACCTTATGTAACCTATATACTGGCTCTGTGTCACTTCTGTGTGGAAGTCATATAAAAGCGGCCAAAGAAGAAGCCACGGGGCTCCCTCCCCCTGTTGGCTGAAGAGAATAAAGCATGTCTACACTGCCATCAGCTCCGCGCATCTTTTCTTAGGTCCCCGAGCCCCGTGGTCCAGTCCTCAGCCGTTCCCCTCCTGAATATACTTGGTGTAGTCTGCAGGATTCTGAGGCGCGTGGACCTACAGCTCCTGAGGCTGACGGGACAGACACTAGTGGCCATCCACTAGTATGTGGTTCCCGGTGGCGGAAGTCCTGTTGAATTGGGCCCCTGCGGAAGGGTGGGAGTCCGTGGATGGTATCCCTGTCAGCATCAAGACGGCTCTGTGTAGCCTGGGGGAACAGGTGCCAGAGAAGGCCCAGCCCACCATGGGGCGGGCAGGTTGGCTTTTTTTGACAGCCCTGCACTGCAACATGGATTCTGCCATGTGGGATGCAGCCCGCATACAAGAACTGCAAGCCAAGGAGGATGCCCTGGAGGTGTGGGTGCCGCAGTTGGAACAGGAGTTGGAATGGTGCCTTGCAGCAAGACTTTGGAGGACGCTGAGGATCAGGACCTGAAGGAAGCTCGCCCTCTCCATGGGTGGCCAGTAATCCAGCACAAGGTAGAGCATGAGCAGCCTTTGGGCCCAGGAGGTGTCGCACAAGGAGCCCCGGTGGTGACAAAGTTCACAGCACTTACACCAACAGAACTGCGGGACCTGTGTAAGCAGTGCAGGCACTGGCCAGGTGAGCCCATACTGGCCTGGCTCCTGCGGCTATGGAATGAGGGGGCAGATAGTATAATCTGTACCCCTGACGAGATGGAGAAGCTGGCCTCCATCACGTTGCATCCTTCCCTTTCGGCAGCAGCTACAGAATAGTTGCCAGCTGGGCCAAGACCAGGGGAATCACTCCATGATTGAGTGGGTGACAGCTGCCACCCGGACAGTGTGGGGTAATGTCGGGGAGCTTCCGGAGACTGTAAGCCGGTGGCAGACCTATGTGGAACTGATCCAAGTTATCCATGAATTGGGAACGCAACAAGCCATTTTTAACCTTCATCCCCAGGGGCCCAATGATGAGTGCTTTACGTCCAGGATGAAGGACCTGGTTCTTAACACAGCCCCGTCTAATTCTTTTGGGCCCTTGGCCATTTTGGCACCCTATGTGGGCACCAGATACGTGAGGTAACTACTGCCATGGCCACTTTGGGGGACGTAGAAGGCCGAGGAGGGAGAGAACCATGCGTGTCACACGGCAGGTGGTGCCCAAGCCTAGAACAGGCTCCGCGGAGAAAGGGCCCAAGCGAGTCACCCGCATGCAGATGTGAATAGACGTGCTAGCTACAGGCATTGATCAGGCAAAAATAGACCAGCAACTGGGGCTGGCCCCGTGGCCGAGTGGTTAAGTTCGCGCGCTCCGCTGCAGGCGGCCCAGTGTTTCGTTGGTTCGAATCCTGGGCGCGGACATGGCACTGCTCGTCAGACCATGCTGAGGCAGCGTCCCACATGCCACAACTAGAAGAACCCACAACGAAGAATACACAACTATGTACCGGGGGGCTTTGGGGAGAAAAAGGAAAAAATAAAAATTAAAAAAAAAAAAAATAGACCAGCAACTGAACGCTGTCTTGGTGGCACTGTGGCACCAGTTGAAGCCTGAGCAACAGTTCCAAAAGACAGCAGGAGCAGGGAAGAACCCTGGTAAGAGCCGACAGCCTTACCTGAAGAAGAGCCTGAAGGTAAGCCTTCAGGACTTCGTGCAGCCCTCAGGAGGAGAGCCCGCGTACCTCTTTGACTAGGCAGAAGGCTGAGGTGCCCAGCTTGGGGGATCCCCGGAGGACCGGAGGCCACATGTGGAACTTGTGATTTACTGATCCCCAAACAATGTGCAGCGTGTGCTGGCATTGGTAGATACTGGAGCCGATTGCAGTTTGATTTGCAGCAACCTGGATAAGTTTCCAGGGAAGCCGGCATATGTTGATGGATATGGGGGCCATACGGTGAAGGTGAAACCGGTGTCCCTGTCTCTTGGTGTTGGTTGCTTGCTGTCCCGGGTGTATGCAGTTTATGTGTCCCCTATCCCAGAGTATGTTCTAGGGGTGGACGTTTTGCAAGGATTGCGCTTACAGACCACCATAGGCAAATTCTGCCTATGGGTGCACGTGGTTAGACTGTCATCTGGGGGCATACGCACCACCCGCCGCAGGTGTTGCAGATGCCGCGGCATGTGGTGGCCACCCAACAGTATTGCCTTCCAGGTGGACATTAGGAGATCACACAGACCATTGCAAAACTAGAAGAGGCTGGGATCATGTGACCCACCCACAGTCCCTATAACTCCCCGGTTTGGCCCGTGAGGAACCCTGACGGCATGTGACGTATGACTGTGGACTACCAGGAACTGAACAAAGTGATTCTTCCATTGCATGCTTCTGTGCCCTCGGTACATGATATAATGGATCAACTGACAGTCCAGCTGGGACAGTACCACTATGTTGTGGACCTTGCTAATGCCTGCTTTTCATCGACATTGCCACCCAGAGCCAAGACCAGTTTGCTGTCACCTGGGATGGCAGACAATGGACTTTTTGCGTGTTGCCGCAAGGATACCTGCACAGCCCCACAATTTGTCATGGGCTTATTGCTTAGGACTTGGCCGCCTGGGCTCACAGTGATGCAGTGCTTGTATTTCACTACATCGATGATATGTTAACCTCTGACTCTCTTGCAGATCAAGAGCAGGCTGCTGACTCCCTGCAGAGACATCTGGCAACATGTGGTTGGGCCGTCAATGACACCAAAGTCCAGGGACCTGGCTTATCTGTCAAATTCTTGGGGATTATTTGGTCGGGTAAGACAAGGGTGACACCTGAAGCGATCATTGACAAAATACAGGCATATCCCCGCCAACGCCTGTAACCCAACTGCAAATGTTACTGGGCCGGCTGGGGTATTGTCAGGTGTTTGTCTCTCATTTAGTCCAGGTGGCGAGCCCCTTGGGACTGGACAGATGCTGCGGATCAAGCATTTAAGACCGCCAAGCGTGCTGTGCAGCAGGCACAAGCCTTACAGGTGGCTGACCCAGGACGACCACATGAATTGGACGTCCATGTTACCCAAGAGGGTTTTGGCTGGGGC